GTATTAATAAGACAGTGGAATTACTCAAATATTAATTCAGAATTTTACACTTTTTGAATTAAAAACTAGTTTCATTTTTAAATAAACTTTATTGAATTGAATCTTGTAAAAACGAATTTGGGTTGGAGGCCCTTTTCAGGGAGGAGTGGGGACCATATGGTCCAATGCCTGGGTGAATTTTGTTATTGGTTGAAACTGGAGTGCCCAGAGAAAACCCACTTTCACAGGACAGACACCATTTAAAAGAATCCACGAACAAAAGGGTATCTCGTAAATCCAGAAAAAAATCTCTCTAATCCCTTTTTCTCTGTTATTCACATACAGTGTGATACATTTATTTATCCCTTCTTAGAAAATAACTTTAATATTCTGACAACTGGTTCTTTAACCTAAATCTACTAACTAAGGAAACTCTATTTAACAACAGCACCTTTGGTTAACCAATGCAATTAGCTTTTTCCTATTAAATCTGTTCTAATTGTTATTCTATCAGGTTTTATTATTGTATCATTGAAAATCAGTAGGTTTTTATTATTATTGACTATTCAAAATCCAACTGTCTGTCTAATAATTTATATTTTTTCTGTATTGGATCTAGAATATATTATTGTTCATGCCTTTAATTTATTCCGTGATAGAAGCATGTATTTACAAGGTTATTTATACAGTTACTGTTTCTTTGACCAGTGAAAAAGACATTTTTGATGTAATACAGGTGTACCCTGACAAGAGAATGGACACCAAAAACATCCTGAACTGGGCTTACAACAGGCTTCAACAGGTAACTTGTAATTAATATATCTCAACAGGAATAGTTTTATCTAAAGAGTTTTTGTTCATCATAACAAAATTGTAATTAATGTATCTCATTAGGAATAGTTTTATCTAAATAGTTTTTGTTCATAATAACAAATAATTGTAATTAATGTATCTCATTAGGAATAGTTTTATCTAAATAGTAACAAATAATTGTAATTAATGTATCTCATTAGGAATAGTTTTATCTAAATAGTTTTTGTTCATCGTAACAAATAATTGTAATTAATCTATCTCATTATGAATAGTTTTATCTAAATAGTTTTTGTTCATCATAACATTATTGTAATTAATGTATCTCATTAGGAATAGTTTTATATAAATAGTTTTTGTTCATTGTAACAAATAATTGTAATTAATCTATCTCATTATGAATAGTTTTATTTAAATATTTTTGTTTGTTAGAATAATTATTTATTTTATTTTAAACTTGTATATATAACAAGAACAGAAGAATTTTTACATAAGTACACTGCTTGTAAAGTGTTAGATTTAGAAAATAATTCCATTTTGGCAAGCTTGTGAAGATTTCTATTGTGGGTGTAAATCACAAATGAAGTAATAACAAACTACAATAATTATTTTTTAAAAGCATTATTTTATAGTAAACAGGTGAATTACAGCTATATTGGATGACTCATTAAAAGTTTCTAGCACTGTGAGATGTACTGTAAATGTTAAGTTACCTTCAAAGTTAAATTTCAGAAAAAACAAACAAAACTGAGTTATCAAGCCTGTTGTCTTCCTGTATCACAATACGAGTCTAGCATTAATGCTACAGGATTTACCTATCTTGTACTAAGGTTGTTAGATATGAAGTCTAGCAGGTTTAGTCACCTGAAACAACCTTTTTCTACTTGTAAATATGAACATTAACACCACAATAACTATTACTTGTGCCTCATGCAGTATACAGATTTTATTAAATTATAATGATTTTTCAAATGACGTAAGTATATTTATGATTCTGTAAAAATGCTGTTAGGTTTAATAAGTTGCACTTAGTTTTGTATTTTTCATTCTAATTTATGTACAGGCTGAAAACTTGAAAAAAAAACACTGCACTGTACTCCAATCACCAAAATGTAAATGTTCACAACCGTTTGAACTATTTTGATTATAAAACAAACACCAAAGATATAGTAAACATTTTTGTCAACAGGTTTGTTCACACAAATTGATGTTTCGGAATCCACTAGTTTTATCATCAGCATACACTAAAATAAAAACACTAATGGTAATATAGAGAAAAGTTTAAAAAAAACAACTTACACTGTTAAACTGTAAAGATAAAATCAATAACC